CCATCATAATCACCATCATCACCATCATCACCATCATCACCATCATCACCATCATCACCATCATCATCATCATCACCATCATCACCATCATCATCATCATCACCATCACCACCATCATCATCATCGTCATCATCATCATCATCACCATCATCACCATCATCATCATAGTCATCATCATCGTCGTCGTCATCATCATCATCATCACCGTCATCATCGGGACACCGACGGGACACCGGCGGGACACCGTCGGGACACCGCGGGCCACCGGACGCAGGAAGGGAGCCATTTGGTCCGGCCGCGCCTCAGCCACAGCGGGGCTTTGGTGGGACACCACGGGCCACCGGTTGCCGCAAGGGAGACTTTTGGTCCGGCCGCGCCTCAGCCGGAGGAGACTTTCTTCTCGCCCGCCCACGCAGCTTCGCCTCACCCGTAGCCCTACCCATGCGACCACCCTTCGGGTGAGAAGGAGGTTCGGGGGGGGGAGGAACCAACGTCTCACTCGATCGGTCTCACTATCGATCTCACTATCGATCTCACTATCGATCTCACTATCGGTCTCGCTCGATCAATCTCACTCGATCGATCTCACTCGATCGATCTCACAATCGATCTCACTCGATCTATTTCATTCGATCGATCTCACAATCGATCTGACTATCGATCTCACAATCGTTTGGTCGGCCAGGGAGGCAGGGAGCTCGGCGAAGGAGGGCGGTGTATGGACGGGGCGCTACACGCCGAGTTCCCTGGCCGACTGGCTGACGTGGTGCACACAGGCAACTCGCACAGTAAGGATGGGCATCCTTCCCAAGGGTACCCATCGGTCGTTGAAAGTTTCCCACTCAGAGCTTGCCTCGCGGATTCATATGGTTAGGTTAGGTGCGCCGCCGATTTCGGCGGCACGCCCGGGTGCCTGGGTGCCCGGGTGCCCGGGTGCCCGGGTGCCCGGGTGCCCGGGTGCCAGGTAGCCCTATAGCCCTGTAGCCTTATAGCCCTATAGCCCTATAGCCCTATAGCCCTATAGCCCTATAGCCCTATAGCCCTGTAGCCCTATAGCCCTGTAGCCCTATAGCCCAAATAGCCCTATAGTTCAATAGCTCAATAGCCCTATAATAGCCCTATAGCCTAATAGCCCTACAGCCCCATAGCCGTATAGCCCAATAGCCCAATAGCCCTCTAACCTTATAGCCCAATAGCCCTATAGTCCTATAGCCCAATGTCCCTATAGCCCTACAGCCATACAGCCACATTGCCCCATAGGCTTACCTGTACGACCACCCTTCGGGTGATAAGGAGGTTCGGGGGGGGAGGAACCAACGTCTCACTCGATCGGTCTCACTATCGATCTCACTATCGATCTCACTATCGTTCTCGCTCGATCGATCTCTCTCGATCGATCTCACAATCGATCTCACTCGATCTATTTCATTCGATCGATCTGACTATCGATCTCACAATCGATCTCACTATCGACCTCACTATCGAGCTCACAATCGATCTCACATTCGGTCTAACTATCGATCTCACTATCGATATCACAATCGATATCACAATCAACGTCATCATCATCATCGTCACCAACGTCATCAACATGATAATCATCATCAACATCATCATCAATAACATCATCATTATCAACGTCATCATCATCACCATCATAATCACCATCATCACCATCATCACCATCATCACCATCATCACCATCATCACCATCATCATCATCATCACCATCATCACCATCATCATCATCACCATCACCACCATCATCATCATCGTCATCATCATCATCATCACCATCATCACCATCATCATCATAGTCATCATCATCGTCGTCGTCATCATCATCATCATCACCGTCATCATCGGGACACCGACGGGACACCGGCGGGACACCGTCGGGACACCGCGGGCCACCGGGCGCAGGAAGGGAGCCATTTGGTCCGGCCGCGCCTCAGCCACAGCGGGGCTTTGGTGGGACACCACGGGCCACCGGTTGCCGCAAGGGAGACTTTTGGTCCGGCCGCGCCTCAGCCGGAGGAGACTTTCTTCTCGCCCGCCCACGCAGCTTCGCCTCACCCGTAGCCCTACCCATGCGACCACCCTTCGGGTGAGAAGGAGGTTCGGGGGGGGGAGGAACCAACGTCTCACTCGATCGGTCTCACTATCGATCTCACTATCGATCTCACTATCGATCTCACTATCGGTCTCGCTCGATCAATCTCACTCGATCGATCTCACTCGATCGATCTCACAATCGATCTCACTCGATCTATTTCATTCGATCGATCTCACAATCGATCTGACTATCGATCTCACAATCGATCTCACTATTGATCTCACTATCGAGCTCACAATCGATCTCACATTCGGTCTAACTATCGATCTCACTATCGATATCACAATCGATATCACAATCTACGTCATCATCAGCATCATCGTCATCAACGTCATCGACATCATCATCATCAGCATCATCGGGACATCATTATCATCATCACCATCATCATCACCTCACCATTATCACCATCATCATCAACATCATCATTATCACTATTATCATCATCAACATCATCGGGACACCATCATCGTCACCATCATCATCATCATCATCATCATCATCATCATCATCATCATCATCTCATCATCAGGATCATGAACATCATCATCAACATCATCATCATCGGGACACCATCATCATCATCCTCATCATCATCATCATCGGTAGCAACATCATCATCATCACCATCATCACCATCATCGGAACACCATCATCATCGTCACCATCATCATCATCACCATCATCATCAACATCATCGGGACACCATCATCATCATCATCATCATCAACATCAGCATCATCATCACCATCATTGGGCCACCATCATCAAACTCATCATCATCACCTCATCATCCTCATCATCAACATCATCATCATCATCATCGAGACATCATCATCATCATCATCATTATCCTTATCATCGGGACACCATGATGATCATCTCCATCATCATCAACAGCATCATCATCAACCTCATCATCATCATCATCATCATCATCATCATCGGGACATCGTCATCATCATCATCATCTTTATCATCATCACCATCAAATCATCTGATCATCATCAACATCGTCAAAAACAACATCATCATCACCATCATCATCATCATCATCATCATCATCGTCGGGACACCATCACCATCACCATCACCATCACCATCACCATCACCATCATCATCATCATCATCATCAGCATCGTCAACATCATCAACAACAACAACATCATCATCATCATCATCATCATCATCATCATCATCATCGGGACACCGACGGGACACCGGCGGGACACCGGCGGGACACCGCGCGCCACCGGCCCCCGAGCGGGACACCGGCGGGACACCGCGGGGCACCGGTTGCCGGAAGGGAGACTTTTGGTCCGGCCGCGCCTCAGCTACAGGAGGTTTATTTCTCGCCCGGGACACCGGCGGGACACCGCGGGCCACGGGTTGCCGCCAGGGAGACTCTTGGTCCGGCCGCGCCTCAGCTTCGGTAGCCCTATAGCCCCACAGCCCTATAGCCCTAAAACGATTATGATTGTTTTTTTTCTCCAGTAGGTGTTTTGGAGTCCCAGATTCCAATCTCTTTTAAGCGCCTTCCTGCTTCAATGATCGAGTGGCTTTACATCTTCCGTCCTTTTTAGGGGGCGGGCGGACGCCAAGTCTATTGTCAACGTCTTTCTACTTCATGTTTACCTACTTGTTCCGACCGATGTGCACCCTTGTATCCTCGCCTCCTCGGTCCAACCCTGGCCACTTTCGCTGGCCGCGCCCCGCTCGAAAAGCTTCGAGATGTGCATCCTCACCGCGCATCCCCAGGATACGGGTCGACTGTATGTATCGAGCCCCTCCCAGGAGCTGGACACCTTCTGGGCCTGGTTTGCCGACCTCGCCTCGGCGGCGAACTGCCGCATCGCGGCCGGGACGCGCCTGATCGGTGAGCAGATCTTCTGGCAGACGGGCGTCCGGCCCGAGTACGTCCCCAGGTGGCGGCGCTCATCACGAAGGGATGGCGCGACAGGGGGGGAGGCCTTCTCAGGCGAGCCACAACTGGGGGAGCTGGGGTCCATACCCCCCTGGGGGGCCCATCGATTTCGACACCCCTCTCAAGAGATCGTCGAGGCGATGGATTCCCCCAGGGGGGTAAGGACCACAGCTCCCCCAGTTATGGCTGGTCGGCTTCTGAGCAGGCGGAGGGTCTTCTTGGACTTACGTCGGGCATGTCTCTCTGCAGGAGGAATGTGCAAGAATTGTCGGACAAATAGTCCTGTGACGATCTTTCGTGCTCTTTTGATTATGTGTGAACATGTTTTTATTCACTTTCAGTTTTCCTCCAAAATCCGCCTGGAGGAGGACGTGCCCGACTTAATTTTAGAAGGCAGGGGCCTTCCTGGAAGTCCCCGGAGGCTTCTAAGAAGCCTTGTGGGCTTCTGAACAAAAGCTCTTGCCTTCTTCGATCGGCACGATCGAAGTGTGTACGGGAAGAACGGGTACGATTCCCAACAGCAGTTCTGGTTCCTTTTGAGCAGGGCTCCCTGCTCGCGCTGCCGAGGACGTTGTCCATCTTTGAGACATGAGCTCGCCTTCCCAACAGCGGCCGCTGTCGGTCTTGGACAACATTTGTGGTTCGGCATCGTGCCCCTTTTTTTCGTACCCATTTCGGGCGTTCGGCGTCACCCCAACCTACAGATACTACATGTGCGTCACCCCCCCCTGGGGCGGGGCGCGCACCGAGAAATCTTATAGATAGTATCTGCGTCGTGGCGGGCGCTGCCACGACGCATGTACTATGAGATCCGCCACGGGCGCCTGGCCACACCGCTCGGGAAACGATCTGCTACAAGATGGGTCTACTATATGTTCGGGTCGGACGCGCGCGCCTCCAAGGAGGACCTCTAGCACTGCCGTGCCTCTGTGCGTCCCAGTCCAAAACAGAAGTCCTGCCCCCCTCCTTAGAGGTCCACCCCCCTCTCGCCGCCCCGCCGTGGGGGCGCCGCCGGCCCGTGGTCATGCTCCACCTCAGCGGGGTCACGTACCGGCCGTCCACGGACGAGGTCTGCTGGGCTCGTTTGCCACCACCAAGAAGAGGAGGAAGAAGAGGAGGTGAGGAAGGAGGTGGAGGAAGAAGAAGAGGAAGAAGAGGATGAGGAGAAGGAGGACCCTCTCCCCCTCCTACTTCTGGTGGTGGCGGTGTAACACAAGCCCACCAAGGTCCTCCTCTTCAAGAACACTCACCCCGGCTTCGACAGGTTCACCCAGCTGCTGAAGCTCGAAGAAGACAAGAGCGGCACAAGCATAAACTTTCGACGCACTGCATGGGGGGCCCCCAGCGCCGATCCAAGAGATCCGCGCGGAGCTCCGAAAGCCGCCACCCACCAAACCACCACAACCCAATCCGAAGGCCCCACTTTGCCCTTCATTCCCCAGGGGGGTGGGTCAGGGAGCATTGAAAAAACACACGTGCAGCCCCCCTCCAACCCGAAGTTCGGGTCTCAGGGTTGGGTTGGGGTGGCCTGGTAGGTAGTCAGACAGCTTATGCTCGAGCAGCTTTTTGTTCTTCGATGAGCAGCACGCGGGCGCCGCTCGGCTGCCGCTGGTCGTCCAGCAGGAGCTGCTGGAGTCCCTGGGGCGGCCGCTGGAGTACGAACACATCGCGTCCTACAAGGCCGTGGTGCTGGTGCCCCACGTGCCGAACAATGCCGCCTTTGCCGACCTCTACGCCATGCAGGCCCCCCCCGCCGCGCCGCTGCCGCGAGAAGGCTAGCGGACGAGGCGCGGTGCAACGGGCAGCGGGGAACAACTGACGGCATACCGTGGAGGCCCGTGCCAAGCAACCCGCTGCTTGCCTCCAGGGTGCCCTGGGTTGCTTGGGTTTCGATGGTCTTGCTATGGGAAGCGTGATGTCCCCACGCCAAACATCAGTGGACGTCCTGGGGTCTTAGGGTTGGGTTTCTTGTGGATGCTTTCTCGTGGGCTGGCCTCCGCTGTAAACGCACACACTTCCGGAGGTCCGCTCAACGTTCCTGGATCTGTGCTGCCCCCCCAAGGGCTCGTTTCGATTTCTCCGATCGATTCGATGCGATTTCGATGGTTTCCGATTCGATTCGACTTCGGATTCCGAATTGGATTCCGATTTCTCAATGGTGGCCTACTGGCCTGCTGATTTCCGCCGCTCCGACTTCTTCCGAGTCGGCAGCCGATTTCCGCCGATCCGATTCATTTCGATCGCCGATCCGACTCGTCGATTCGATCCTGGCCCCCCAGGCCTCCCGCCTGGGCGGCGCCTCCAGCGCCGCCCCCCTGGCGCGCTCCGCGTGCCAAAGGGGGCGGGGGGGGCCTGCGCAGATCCGCAGAGAGGTCCGCGCGGACCCCCGAGGCGTCTGCATTTACGTTGGAGGGCCTTCCTCGAGGAAGGGGGCTGGAGGAGGGATGGAGGGAGGGAGGGAGGGCCGGAGGGAGGGAGGAGGAGGAGGATGAGGCGGAGGAGGAGGAGGAGGAGGCGGAGGAGGAGCAGGAAGAGGGAGGGATGGAGGGTGGACAAATCCGTTCCAGAGCGTTTCGGAACGCTCGCAGAGGGATTTCTCTTCACCCGATGTTATCCTCGTCCTGGCTTCGTCTGACAGGTTCGAGGTTACGGTCGGCCCCCGGGGGCAGTTTTCGTGCCCCAGGGACCGTGAAACACGGATCTTGGGCGAAGCACGAATCGTGGGAAGCGATTCTGCCCCCCTCTCCCCTCTCCCCTTTTTGGGTGAAGCGATAACGCAGCCAGCACCCTGAAGCTTTAGCCTTGCACTTGGTGCCCACTGGCCCTGGAGCCATCCTGTCACGTGGTCCAGTAAGGACCCCGCTCGAGCGCAGCGGCGACATTGTCCCAGAAGTAATCATCACGGTCATCGATGCCATTATCCTCCTGCGACGTCAGGAATGTCAGCACAACATGGTTTCCAATCATGCGCGGCAGTGCGTCGACGGGGGGGCAATCTCTATTTATTTGTTGCGGCATAGTGCGGTACCAAAAATATCGCTCCCCTGAATCCGCCCGCCACGGATTATTGATGTTCTCTTCGGTGCTAACGATGCAGTGGAGACCCATGCCTAGAAACATCCTGCTTGCCTCCAGGGTGCCCTGGGTTTCTTGGGTTTCGATGGTTTTGCGATAGAAGACGTGACGTTCCCACACCAAAAATCAATGGACTTCCTGGGGTCTCAGGGTTGGGTTTCTTGCGTAAGGTTTTTTTGTGGACTGGCCTCCACTGTAAACCAAGGGGGTTTCTTCATCGCTTCCTCCGGTCACACCAGATGGCCCCTTGGGAGGGATCCCCGGGAGGCCGATTCTGCGCAGACTTGGCCTCGTTTTTTCCTGGCCGATGTTCTGGGGTCCCAACCCGTTCGGACCCCCCAGCCGCCTCCAGCTCGAAGGCCAGAGATCGGGGGAAGGAGAATCGGGGGGGGGGCTAGGACTAGGAGAGGTCCGTTCCAGGGCGTGCTGGAACGCTCGCAGAGCCTCCCCGGACGCTCTGAGAGGGTTGCGGCGCCCTGAGACATCCTCCTGAGCCGCCGGATATTGGAGATTCTCTTCCTCCTCCTCCTCCTCCTCCTCCTCCTCCTCCTCCTCCTCCTCCATCCTCCTCCTCCATCCTCCTGAGACATCCTCCAGATCTATCCTCACCCGATTTTTGTTCCTCGTGCTGGCTTCGTCTCAGCCTCGAAGGCCAGGCGTCGGGGGAAGGAGAAGCGGCACAGCCGGCACGCAGGGGGGGCAACCCCTCGAGCGGGGAGGTCCAGGGTGCCTCCCCGAGCGGGGGACAGGGGAAGTCTGGCGGGAGAGGAGGAGATCACACCACCAGGGGGGACCCCCCCTGGCTCCTCCCGCTGGTGGTCCCTGGGTCGCAGAGGAGGAAAAGGTACCCGTGCCTCCACCCTCTCCTCGTTTTCCCCGTTTCGGGCCTCCTGGGCCTCCCTCGTCGCCGCCGCTGGATTCGCTTCGAAATCCTTGTCAGAACGCACCCCAGGGGAGGTCCGGGGAGTAGCGGTATCGGTACTTTTTGGTCTGCCCAGGTTCGGCCACTCGCAGAAGGGGTGTGTGGGGAGGAAGAAAGGCTCCTCAGCAGCACCCCTGCTTCTCAGAAGGCGCGGGCCTTGTCTGTGGGCGTAGGGCCCCGCGCCTTCTAAGAAGCAGGCTCCTCCTGAGAAGCCTTTCCTTTTTCCCCCCAGTACCCGCCTCTGCGCATCGCCAGCTGGTGCTGGTGGTGCCGCTTTGCTTTGCTCCTGAGAAGGCGAGGAACGAGGAGCGCGCGGGGGGGAGGAGGAGGCGGAGGCAGAGGCGGAGGCGGCGGCGGCGGCGGCGGCGGCGGAGGAGGAGGAGGAGGAGGAGGAGGAGGAGGAGGAGGAGGGAGGAGCGACGAGCGACGAGCGAGTGCCGACGGCCGACGTCCGACGACCGACGGCCGACGTCCGACGGCCGACGGCCGACGGCCGACGGCCGATGGCGACGGACGACGGACGATGCACTGCGGCGACGAAGAGCGGCGACGACGATCGACGAGGGCGGCGGCGGCGGATGTGAAGGTCCCCATGTTCCTGCCGGCGGAACCCTACATCTACACGTGGATGTGGGCGAACTCGGCGATCTGGGGAGCGCCAAGTATGCGACACGGATCCTGGCCAGGCCCATCCTGGGACCCAGGACCCCTCTGAGTGGCCCGCCTCTCCCCCCCCCCCTCCGGCCGCCCTGTCCGTCCTCTCCCCTCTCCGGCGAGCTGGCCGATTCGCTTCTCGGTGCCCCCGTTTAGCTCTAGCGCCGGTACAGCCATTTTGCCTCGCCGCCGGCGGAAAAAGTGCGTGTTCAGGCGGCTCTTGGAAGAGTCTCGCTTTCAGTCGGGCATGTCCCTCTACAAGAGGGATGTTCAAATGTTCTATATTTGTGTGGGGACGATTCCTCCATGATTTTTTGAGCATTTTTGCATGTTTTGATTATCTTTAACTTCTTCTTCAAAATCCGCCTGTAGAGGGACATGCCCGACCCAAGTCTTGCTTTCGAGGGTTCGGGGGATTGGCCCCTCATCCGCCAGCGGAAGCCGGCGGAAGCAAAACGAGAGTGGTTGCGCCGGCGGACCTGGCAGAAGCCGGCGCAACCGCTCTCCTGAGGGTGGATGACTTGTCGCCCACCGACTTGCGGGGATCAAGTCTGATAAGTCGAAGTAAAACCAGATAGATCCAGGTACATCGGAGTATATCGAGGCACATCCATTGACATGACATCGCGGTAGATCTGGAGACATCGAGGTACATCCGGATGCATCACGGCAAATCTGCAGATCTCCAGGGACATTTGGAACATATCCGTGGACGCTGCAGCGCGAGCCCAGGGACAGCAGAAGTCGTGGAGTCCTCAACGATGAAGTCGGGCATGTCCCTCTACAGGAGGAATGTGGAGGAATGTTCTAAACTAGTCAGTAAACATAGTCTGGGGACGCTGCTTCTACAACTCTTGTTGATTTTTTATTTCTCTTCCAACATCCGCCTCAACCAGGTACCGATACCGCTACTCCCTGGACCTCTCCCACGGTGCGTTCTGACTAGGATTTCGAGGCGAATCCAGCGGAGGCCCAGAAAGGGGAAGACGGGCGAGGGGGTAGAGGTATGGGTTCCTTGTCCTTCTTTGACAACGAGGGGCCTCGGCCGCAGCCGGCGCAGCGCCCGCCCCGCCGCAGGCCGTGTTCGGCGGGCCCGCGCTCTTCGCCGTGGGCACGACGGCGATGCAGAGCCGGGCGCCGGCCGGGCTGCGGCCTGCGGCCCCGGCTTGGTGGCTCGAGGAGCTCGCGGTCTCCCCTCCTCCTCCTCCTCCTCCTCCTCCTCCTCCTCCTCCTCCTCCTCCTCCTCCTCCTAGCTGTCCTGTGCCCGAGCGCGGGCATTGTGCACACCAACTTCAGGACAGCATTCTGTGTGCACGGGCCTTTCTGGCTTGCGCGTTCCCCGCAGTCCGCCGCGCCGCGCCATGGGACGCACCGATGCCCCGTGGGCTCGCCGCGAGGTGGCTTCGTCGTGGTGGTCGATCGCTCCTGGCGGCAGCGCGCCTTGGCGCCAGTCGCAGCAGCGCCAGGCCCCTCAGCCATGGTCGCGGCCGGCAGCCGCGGTGCGCCCCCCTCAGCCTCGCCACGTTGGCGGCTGGGGCTCTCCTGGCCCCGCAGACCAGCCGCCGCAGGAGGGCGACGGCGGTGCCTGGGCCAGGCGTTGGCGCTGCGGGCAATGCGGATGCAAAAAGAACTTGCGCAGCTGGCTTTGCTGCAAGCACTGCGGAGCGGCACGTGGAGGTGGTGCTGACCCCGAGGACGCCATCTGGCCCGAGCTCCCTTGGCGTCCTGGGCCTCTGCATGCTCTTCCTGGTGGTTGCTCTGGCGGGGGCTCAGAGGGGGCAATCCATTCCCTCCCCTCGGCGGGCTCTCGGAGAGCGAGCTCCGCACCATGGTCAGCCTGGCCAAGAAGTGCGGCGATTCCGTCGGTCTGGCGCGCTACGAGCAGGCCTTGTCGGTGCTCGTGCCCAAGCCTGCTGCCGCAGTGCCGCCGCAGCAGCGTGCCAGCAAAGCGCACGCGAAAGTGCTCCAGCTGGAGAGGAAGCTCGGCCAGGAGGTCGACAAGCTGGACAAGGCCTCGCGTGCCCTCTCTGCGCAGCGAGACGCCGTCGCAGCAGCCAAGAAGGAATTGGACGCGGCGGACCTCGAGTATAAGGGTGTGGTCACCGAACTGGCGGGCGAGGTCATCGAGATCAAGCAGCAAAACCCTGCTCCCACTCGGGTCTGCATCGAGGATTTGGTCTCGGGCAAGGTCGAGGCCAGCTCCTTCATCAACACGGACAGTGTGTTCAAGCTGGACGAAGCAGAGTACGAGCTCTCGCCGGACGACTCCAGGCAGCTTCAGGAGAGGAAGGAGGAGCTCAACAGCAAGCTCCGCGAGCTGGCTTCAACCTTGATCTGATTGGCTCTGCCTCCGAGCGTGCAGCTCGGCAGTTTCGTTTCAATTTTTTGATAAATGTGTGATTCAACTTTTTGAGGCAGGCCAGGATCGATGCTGTGTCCCTCGGGGTGTTCCCAAGTGTGGTGCGTCTCTTGGCCGGTCGGCCTCTCCCGCCTGCCCCAGCATGTCTACTCAGGCCTGGAGGGTCTCAAGTTTTGGTTTCAATTTGCCGGCTGTGTACCCAGGTCGGGACCAGCTTGCCCTCAAAACGTGCACGTGCAATTGCACGTCGTGGAGTTCGGCCCAGGATTGGTTGCTCACGTGCAGCGCTCACATCGTTCTCCTTCAGGAAACCCATTTGTGCGAAGATCGGATCCCTGAGGCCCAGAACTGGCTGCAAAGGAAAGATTGGAAAGGATTGTTCGAACCTGCGTGATTCACGTTAGCCTCCGGCACCTCAGGCGGGGTGGCAGTGGTTTGCCGTAGCTCCTTAGGCCTGGCTGCTCCTTCGACTGGCTCCCAAGTTGTTGCGCATCGGGCTATTGCTGTTGCTGCTCAGGTGAACCTTCCCGGGCAGGACCCCTTCTTGGTTGTCAGTTGTTATCTGTTCCAGGGCGCCGTCGAGAAGGCCACCGAGCTCAAGGCAGCCCACGCTGACCATGTGCGCAGGTTGGCTACCAAGCGTCGGAAAGGTCAGGAAGGTGACCTGGTCGACGCTGGGGGTGCAACTGCTGTGGGTGCGGAAGGCGGTGGTTCCGCGGGCAGTGGTGGTGCACCTCCTGCTGCTGGTGGCCCTGCAGCTGTCGACCTTCCAGTGCCATCCTCTCCTGCCGACGGCATGTTCGAGCGGGAGGCTGCTGGCGTGCGCACCCTGGCCGAGAGAGCTCTGGCCAGCGCGTCTGTGCAGCCTCCCCCCTTGCCACTGCAGTCTGAAGTGGGCCTGCAGGGCAGGGGGGTCCGGCAACATCATTCCACTGGTTTGCGAAATCATGTCCTCGTTGCCTGTGCAGATTCGGCTCGTTATGCTGGCGATGATCCCGAAGGCCCTTGGTGGGCTGAGGCCGATTGGGATTTTCACGGCTCCCTACCGCATCTGGGGCAAAATGCGTCGGTCCGTGGCCTTGGAGTGGGAAGAGGCTCACCTCCAGTCCTTCTTCGCCGGGCACGGCTTCAAGAGCGCGTCAGACGTGGTCTGGCGCCAAGCCTTGGCCAGCGAGCAGGCTCATTCCTCTGGCCTCGTGGCCGCCAGCCTGCTGTGGGACTTGTACAAGTTCTATGAGCTGATCGACCTCGAATCGCTCATGCAGAATTGCATCGATCATGGATTCTCGATTGTTGTCGCTAGGCTCTGCATTGGAACTTATCGACCAGCTCGTTTTATCAATATTGCTGGTTTCTTAGCAGGGCCTTTCATAGGGGCCCTCCGTGGTGTCATTGCAGGCTGCAGTATGGCTACCACCTTCGTGCGCATTCTTTACATGGAGGCTTTCTCGAGGATCCCACTTCGCCCTGCTGTTCAGCTCGACCTATATATCGACGACGTCGGCCTGGCTGCTCGTGGGACGCTTTCGCAGGTCCTGGAAGGTTTGAAGTCTGGGGCGGTTGCAGTGCATCGGGCCATCACCGTGGATTTAGGCGCCGCGGTCTCTCCAGACAAGGCCGGCTTGATCGCTGGCTGCCCTCGACTCGGACGTCTTTTGGAGCAGTGGCTTGGAAAGGTCTTTGGGAAAGGTTTCACGGGTTCTGCCACCAATTTAGGCATCGATGATACTGCTGGCCGCGCGCTCCGAGTTCGTGGTAGAGCTGTCGAGCGTAAGAAGCGGACACCTCACCGTCGTGCACGTGTTCGCCGCGCCGTATGTCAGCGCAAGTTTCTTGGAGCGTCCGCTCGGCGTATCTTTGCGAGTGGGCCCCTGCCGGGCATCGCTTCTGGGGCGGAAGTGCACGGGGCCAGTGACAGGGAATTGTAATTTCTCAGAGTGCACTCGGGGAAATGCATGCGACCTTCAGCTGGAGGGAGGTCGCTGACTGCGACGTCGATCTGTGGCGACGACCCATGTTGGTATGCAGCTGTTGCTCTTATTGTGCGCTGGAGTAAAGAAATATGGGCAGGTCAGTGCCATGCCTTCCTGTATTCTATTCCTCCCCCTGACTTGAGGAGAGCCTGGGCCGCTATCTTCGAGCACCCCGACAGGCAACCTGCGAAATGGAGTGCGGTGTGCGGCCCCGTTGGGGCCCTGTTCCTTTCCGTTAAAAGACTTGGGTGGACTATGCCCAGTTTTGCTGTGCTTCGTGACCGCGCTGGTGTCGATGTCGTGCTCACTTTCATCGGCCCCCAGCTCCTCGAGGGCATTCTCCAGAAGGCCATCATCCGGCTCCTCGAGGTCTCGGCGGCTAACAAGATTGGGGAAGGATGGGGCAGGGCTTGCTTTGATATTGTGAAGGCCCAGGCTAAGTCGAGCAAGTATTCGCCTCTGGAGCGCGGCTCCGTCCGATGCTTGGCGTGCGACGGCTGCTGGACAGCTGAGCGAGCGACCAGACTCGGGTGCCAGCTGACGGAGCAGCAGCAGCTTTGCCCGCTTTGCGGCAAGGCGAAGGACTCAATCTTTCATCGGTTGTGGCAGTGCGAAGCTTGCGCAGATGAGCGAGCTGAACTTGCCGCGGCCTCAGTGCGGGCCGAACCCGATGGCGATCTCTCCCCCTCCGACCTTGTGTTGTTCACTCGGGGCATCTTTGCCCACCCCGAGTCGTTCTGGCCCAACCCTCGTTCGGTCGACGCCCGGGTGGTCAGATCGAACAACTACCCTGAAGGGGAAGATGGGGACCTGCAAGGGGGCCTGTTTGTGGACGGGTCGTTCTTCAAGCATCCAATCGCTGATTTAGGGCGTGCAGGCTGGAGTGTGTGCCAGGTTGCGGAGGATGGGGAGCTGCTTTGTTCCGTCCTCGGCCCAGTGCACCACCCGTTGCCGCAGTCGGCCCCTGCTGCTGAGTTCTCAGCGTTCGGGATAGCTGCGCTGCAGGTTGTTGGAGACAGCCACGTTTACTCTGACTGTGCCGCGGTGGTGGGGCACCGCAGCCCGCCGCCTCCTCAGCGGCTTTCGTACAAGCGCAAATATTCAGGGATTTTTCAATATGTCAATCCTGTGTCTCGCCTCAAGTCGCTCACGAAAGTTCGTGCTCACCTCTCGGTTGACGACCCTGATTTGTCGCCGAAGGAATTGTTCAGGGGGAAGGGCAGCGATCACGCTGACAAAGCTGCGCGTGAAGGTGCCCGACTCCACCCTCAGGCCTCGTCGGAGGAGCGCGAAGCCGTTGACGCATTGGTGCGGATCTCTAAAACTGTGTGTAGGCTAGCCGCCAAGCTGCTTCCGAAGTGGCCGAGACTTGATTTGAATGGGGTTGAGTTCAAGGCGCCATCCAGAGCACCCAAAGAGGTGCAGCCAGTGGAGCAGCACGATTGGCAAAGGTTCGGGAATGTCTGGCGGTGCGCTGTGTGTAGGAAGGGCTCCAGGTCGGTGGTGAGGCCTGAGCCAGGGAGGTGTGCTGGACCCCGCCAGCATGCTATGGATGCGGCCGAGTCTAACGGTCACAAGCCAGCGCTTTTTCACTTGTCGGACGGCTCCGATTGTTTCTTGTGTCTGAGTTGCGGGGCATCCCTCCGCCACGGAGCGCTAGTGAAGAGCAACTTTGCTGGCAGGTGCCTCACGGAGCTCAGCAGACACGGCAAAACCAATTTCAAGATCTCGTCAGGCTTCCATCCCAGAGACAAGAATCTGAGGATTGCTGATGCGCCTGTGGTGCCAGCGTTTGCCCCTGGGCTCGATCCTGGCGCCAGTCGAGGCCAGTGCAGTGCCGCCCTCTCCCGACGCTGCCTCTGCACTTAGAAGTGTCGCTTCGGCACTCTGGCTGGAGGCCGCCGCGTCGAGCGGCCAGAAATCTCACAGCAGACCTGACGGTTCAGAGTCTGGCTCAGATTAAACAGATTACGCGTGTGCACTTTTTGTCCAGCTTACAGAGCAGAGCGGCATGAGTACGAGTCCCTCCATGTGGCCTCGCCAGCCCATGGTGCATAGTTGGCAGCTTTGCGTCGATGTTAGATAAATCATCCCCCTCCTCCTCTTCCCCCTCCTCCTCCTGCTCCTCTTCCTCCTCCTCCTCCTCTTCCTCCTCCTCCTCCTCCCCCTTCTCCTCCTCTTCCTCCTCCTCCTCCTCCTCCTCCTCCCCCTCCTTCTCCTCCTCCCCCTCCTCGTCCTCCTCCTCCTTCTCCTCCTCCTCCTCCTCCTCCTCCTCCCCCTCCTCCTTCTCCTCCTTCTCCGCCTCCTATCGGCGAGTCTCGCCCAATAGCTAGCGCCCACCAGCGCCAAATTCTGCCCAACAGCGCCCTGTTGCGCCGAAGAGCGTCCAAATAGCGCCCACACAGCGCCCAACAGCGATCGCTGGCGCGCAACAACTCCAGTGTGAGGGAGACGCATGAGGTCTGCCTTGCGCGAGTGGGCGCGCTATTGGGCGCCACGGGGGCGACCAACAGCTTCCGTAGCTGATTCTTTTGAGGCAGAAAAGCGCCGTAAGCATGAACTGTTGGCGCTTCGCGCGGATTTCTTGGATCCGCGTTGGGTCCCCTTAGCGGCACCTCCGGCGCCGCTCCTGGCGCGCTCCGCGCGCCAGCGCAGATCCAAGAACTCCGCGCGGAGCGCCAACAGTTTATGTGTATTGCGTTTTTTTTCCTATTCCCAATCCCTGCCCATCAAGGTGTCCCCAGCTCGTCGCGCTCCACTCTTTGAAGCCCCCCGGTGGCCCTCTGGGCCTCGTGCGGGGTGCCCTGGAGGGCACTGGGGGCCTCCCGCCCCCTTTACGAGCCCCCCCCCCGCGGGGGGGGCTGCGAAGGTATCCTTGGCCCTAAGAGCCCCTAACGCTAATAACACTATGAAAATGTAGCCTCAATGAGGTCCCCGTTTTTGCTTTAGGGATAAGAACTCTCGGCGCTTTGGTTCGATATATCTGCAGAGAACTCCTAACTTAGGTCTCCTTCCAAAGGGTGAGGGGTCCTTTTCTGCTTACTCCTAACTCCTGCCCCAGGTATCCTCCGCTCGTCGCCCCACTCTGCAGCCCCCCCCCCGTGGCCCTCTCGGCACCTCGTGCGGGGTGCCCTGGAGACCGTTTGGGGGCCTGCCGCTTCCTCTACGAGCTCTCCCCTTCCCCGCGGCGGGGCTGCGGGAGGCATCCTTGGCCCAGGGAGTCCACCGCTCGTCTCGCTCCACTCTGAACTGGCGGCGCGCAGAGGGGAGCTCTTGTGCTATTGTGCGGCCCTGGGGCCATCAGGAAACGACTCAGGATAAGAAGCCGGCCTTCAGTTTCTCGTAGGCACTTGTGAAGACGGAACTCAGAGGGAAGGTTTCTTGCAACATCGTTTATGCGTCGTGGGTTTGCACAAGTCCTGCTCCTCCGCCTCTCTCTCCCCTCCCTCCTCCCTCCTCCCTCCCTCCCTCCTCCCTCCTCCCTCCTCCTCCTCCCTCCTCCCTCCTCCCTCCTCCCTCCCTCCTCCCTCCTCCCTCCTCCCCTCTCCCTCCCTCCCTCCCTCCCTCCCTCCCTCCCTCCCTCCTCCTCCTCCTCCTCCTCGTCCTTCCTCTCCCCTCCTCCCTCCTCCCCCCTCCTTCCTCCCTCCTCCCTCCTCCTTCTCCCCGTCCCTCCTCTCTCTCCTCCCTCCTCCCTCCCTCCTCCCCTTTCGTTTGCCCTCCTCCGTTTGCCCTCCTCCCCGTCCCTCCTCTCTCGTCCTTTCCGTCCTGCTCTCTCTCCCTCCCTCCTCCCTCCCCCTCCCCTGGACTGAGAACAGCTCGTCGCCCAATCCAGCGTTGCATCAGCCTCCTTCTCCCTTCTCCCCTCGTCGTCGTCGTCGTTGTCGTCGTCGTCGTCGTCATCGTCGTCGTCGTCGTCCTCCTCCTCCTCCTCCTCCTTTTCCTCCTCCTCCACCTCCTCCTCCTCTCCCTCCTCCCTCCTCCCTCCTCCCTCCTCCCTCCTCCCTCTCCTTCCTCCGCCTTCCTTTGTTGGGCCAGGAGGGGGCCAACGTGAGTGCGCAGTACCCCCCGTTTGCGCACCTGACGGCCGGGTTCCCGTCCGAACCCGACATCCAGCTGCGCTGCCGCGCTGAGCCCGCCACTGCGCGCGGGGGCGGGTGCCTCTGGGAAGGGAGGGGTGGGGATGCCGCCGTCGGGGGGGGGGGCGGAGCGTACGAGGGCGGGGAAGGCGCAGGCCCGCGACGAGGAATGTACTGGGCAGCAAGGGCGCGGGTCTTGGGTGCTGCAGCGAGGCCAGTGGCCCCCTGGGAGGAGGCACTCACTGGCCAGCCAGGGCATGGGCATAGGTTTGGCAGCCAGGCCGGGACGCCTTCGAGCTGGCGGCGAGGGTCGCCGACAGGGGCGTGGGGGCGGGGGAGGCGCAGGGAGGGAGGAGAGGGGACAGGAGGGGGGAGGGAGGGAGGGAGGGAGGGAGGGAGCGGGAGGAGGCAGGCTGGAAGGCGGGGGGCGAGCAGGAGGGGGGGCAGGCGCACACGGGTCGCTGCCAGTGCGGTGGCGGATTCTGCTGCACAAGGCCTACTGGTTCCAGTACTCGGACTACGGCGCTCGAGGAACAGAAAGCGAACGGCATGCGCATAAACTTTCGGATCTCCGCGCGGATTTCTTGGGTGGGCACCAGACCCTCTGCCTGGCGCTCAGAGCGCGCCAGGGGTGGCTCCGGATGCGCCGCCAGGGGGTCCAGCGCCGACCCGAGAAATTCGTTGCCGTTACTTCTTCCTCTACTGGAAGCCCATGCCAAGAATCACCCTGCTTGCCTCGAGGGTGCCCTGGGTTTCTTGGGTTTCGATGGTTCTGCTCTGGAGTGCGTGGCGTTCCCACACCAAAAAACAATGGACAATGGACAATGGACACCTGTCTTGTGGAAGATTTCTTGTGGTCGAGCTCCTACTGTAGGTGCGCTGCCTGGGCCGCGGCGCTTCCGCAGCGTCGCCGAGCTGGTGGTGCTGCTGGCAGGGTTTTCCAAGGAGGAAGCAGACAGCGCCAGCCGCGCGATGAGGGGGGCGCACCAGAGGCGGGTACACGGGGTCAAGAGCTGGATGGCGTGCACGTTGGCGAGTCTGCAGGACGGATCAGGAAAAGAGCTCCGAGGAGGAGGACCAGGACCCCCTGGAGTCGTGGCAAAGTCACGACGTTTTTTGCTTGTTTTTGTTTTTTTGCTTTGGCTTCACCGTCAAACAACTACCCAGGATGAAGACCTTGTCCTGGAGAATGGGTCGAGACCTCCAGGGGTCGACGCTGTGAGCAAAAACGGGACGTGGGGGGGTGGTCTGCGAAGGCCTTCCTCCTACTCTTGCTCTGCACGTGCATGATGTTTCGCCTTTCCCAGCCTTTTCTCTCTCCTCTGCCCCATCCTGGTGCAGGCTACGAGCCTCCATGCCTGTGAGTCGACCGACCGACCGAGGAGGGTGAGGAGGAGGAGGAGGAGGAGGAGGAGGAGGAGGAGGAGGAGGAGGCTCGTGGAGTGCTTCACCCCTTCTCGGTCCCTGGATGCTCTTCTGGGCCCCGGGGGCCATCAGCAAGCGGCCAAGCTGGTGAGCAGCTGGCTGGCTGGGACCCTGGGAGGGGTCGGGGCGGCTCTTGAGCGGGTCTTGGGGTCGGGAGGGGCGACGTGTCGAGCCGCGGTGCCGCAGAGCCAGTGGTGACCTGCGCGAGATTTTGGCAGGTGAGCTCGGGATGACGAGCAGCCAAAGGGCTCGTCTTGCTTCATTGTGGGCTTCTCTCCGTCCCGCCCCTCAGCTGTCCCTCCTCCCCGGAGGTCTTCGCTGAGGCACCATGCGTGTCGGTAGGCTGGTCCAGTCGTTCTGTCGGAGGTCTCAAACATCTCGCACGAGTTTGCTGGAGCTCGTGTTCGCCGACGTTTTGTGGCTGGCTCGTCTGGAATTTTATTGCCCCAGAGTTCTTTATTGTTGGATTTTTCGTGCGGTACTGCCAGGGTCTTAAGCCTGACGTTCAACAGTTGCGCGGATCAGCAGCGGTCCGTGCCGAAAGCATCGTTATCGTTCAAGATTTCTTTGCTGCTCACGGTTCTGAAACCAGCTTGCGATTTGACGCAGGCGGAGTGCGGCTGCTGACGCCCTCCAGCGACCTCCTTGTAGTCAAATGCCACAGGGCCAGGATGCTTGTACAGTCAAGCGATGAAGGGTGGGCCGTGCTTATAAGTAGTGCTTCCGCTTCGACAGCAAGTCAGCGACGAGATCATGATAGCTCGCGTGAGCAATAATTAACAAACTGTGCTTTCGCTCCGGCTCCGCGCACGTTCATGTAGTTGGCCATCTGGGTGGATTGCCATTCTGTCTCATGCTCATTGAGTTTGGGCAAGCTTCTCGATGGAGCCGGGATCTTATCGTCGATGGCACCGATCGGGTAAAGTGCCAGTCCTGCCGCCACGAACCTCTGATGGGGCCATGGTAAGGTACCATGTGTCAGGACCACGGTTCCCGTACCTTTCTCCAGCGGGTCAGCGCGGCGTTGAGAGTGAATGCCTGGATCATATTATGAGGAGGGGGCTCGGGACGAGAGGGTGGGCTACAACATCAACGACGTGTGCGGGGGTTGCTCTCCTCCTCTTCCCGATCGTCGCCTCTTGTCCCTCTTCTCTTCGTCGCGATTTACGTCCTGCTCCTCTTGCCCTGCTGCTGACGCTTGTGTCCTGCTCCTCCTCGCGCTCCTCCCCCCTCCTCGTCCCCCCTTTCTTTGGGATGCCATCGGATGCGCGAGTGGCATCATGGGGGCCAGCGCGAGAGTAACAGGTCAGAACGGCGGACCAGCGTCGGCAAGAGAGAAGCACTGGTCGAAGGCGGTCTCCACGAAGGGTTGAGACGCTCGTTCAAGAATGTGCCCATACGGCTTCAGACCCTAGAGGATTCCTGGTCTGATGAGAGCGGCGGTGATATCCGTGGCCAGGCCCCAACTGGCGTTCCACAGGACGTCCATGGATTTTTGGTGTGGAAACGCGACGATTTTCACAGCAAGACCATCGAAACCCAAGACACCCAGGGGACCCTGGAGGCAAGCATGGTGTTTCTTGGCATGGGCCTCCACAGTACAAGGGTTCCTTTCCCAATGCGCTCTCACCGTAAACGGCATTTCGAGTTCTGCTCGATCGAGTGCACGTCCTCCATCGATGGGTTCTGCGCCATGGTAAGGGATGGGAGGGAGGGGTAGGATGTCAGATATGACGAGAGCGCACCTAGCTTGTCCTCCCCCCCTCTCCTCGTTCCCCCTCTTTCTTCCCTGAGATCCGACGTAGCGACAAAATGCAATACCGCGGACCAAAAAGACGGCCATAGCCCAGAGCCCATCGTCCCGCCGCCCCACTTTTCGAGCGAGATCGGCCTGTGATGGCCCCGTGCCCCGAAACGGGGCGACAGCGCTTGGCGTGACGTACGCTGCAGCGCCCAGCTCCGAGGTCCCTCCCTCCTCCTTCTCCTCCCTCCTTTCTCCTTCCCTCCCTTCTTTCTCCTTCCCTCCCTACCTCCCTCCTTCCTCCTCCTCCCTCCTGGCACCTCTCATTGGCGCTCCCGACACCTCTGCAGAGCGTGCAGGGCGCTCCTGACGCCTCTAATTGGGGCTGCCTCTCTCTCCCTCCTTCTCCCTCTCCCTTCCTTTCCCCTCCCTCCCTCCTCTCTCCTCCTCCTCCTCCTTCCTCCTCCCTCCCTCCCTCTCTCCCTCCCTCCCTCCCTTCCTGCTCCTCCTCCTCCTCCTCCTCCCTCCCTCCTCCCTCCCTCTCTCCCTCCCTCCCTCCCTCCCTCCTCCCTCCCTCCCTCCTCCCTCCTCTCCCCCCCCCCCTCGCAGGGCCTCGCGCAGGGCCCCGCCGCGCCGGAGAGCCGCGGGGCGACCCTCCGCGCCGCAGCCGCGCGGCCAGCCATGTCGGCGATGGTGCTGCAGCAGGTGCCGCTGCGTGCCTGCGGCGCGGTCCTGCGTGCCTCCTGCTCCTCTTCTTCTTCGTCCTCCTCCTCGTCCTCGTCCTCGTCCTCCTCCTCGTTCTCCTCCTCGTCCTCCTCATCATCCTCGTCGTCCTCCTCGTCTTCGTCCTCCTCCTCCTCGTCCTCCTCCTCCTCTTCCTCCTCCTCCTCCTCGTCGTCCTCCTCCTCCTCCTCCTCCCTCCTCTCCTCCTCTTCCTCCTCCTCCTCCTCCTCTCCTCCTCCTCCTCCTCTCTCCTCTTCTTCTTCCTCCTCCTCCTCCCGTTTCGCTTCTCGGGCCGCTCGCCGTCCCCGGTACTCTGGGCAGGCTGCTCGCGTGCACGGCCCCCCCCCCCCCCTCGCAGGGCCTCGGAGGCCGTATGGTGGGTCCTCCTTGGGGGCCATCCTGTGGGGGAGGGCTCCCGTCCTCCTCCTCCTCCTCCTCCTCCTCCTCCTCCTCCTCCTCCTCCTCCTCTTGGGGGTCCATCCTGTGGGGGAGGGCTCCCTGGAAGAGAGTGGTGCAGGAGGGGATCTATCAGGCGATCGCAGACATGGATCAAGGTGGCGTGGATGAGCGACTTGGTCCCGTTGCCTCGGGAAATCGCGGATCCCCGCCGCCGAGCGAGGCGGCACCGGCCGCATTTTGGGAGGGCACCGACCCAGCGATCCATGGATTTGGCGACCGCGCGCCAAATCCATGGATCACTAATCCATGCCTGAGCGCCCCCTAGTCTAAGCGATGTGTTTTTCGTGGCCGCCGACGGTTGCAGGATCGACGAGCCCCTTCGCACGCTGCTCAGGTCAGAGCGCGCCGCCAAACGGCTGCGGATGGTGCGGCGAGGTGCCTAGCCTCCAACATGCTAGTGGATCTGACATCGCAGACACTGTACCCTCATGGCTCTGGTAATGCGTGCACGCGGCGTGGTGTACAGACGAGGGAGCAACAGCGCGCCCTCCTACCTTTCCCGATCACTTCACCCTACAATCTGCTACATGTTTGGCGATGTTGCGGTTTGTTCGCAATGTCGTATTTCAGGGCAGAGCTCCTTGGTACTCATTTCCCCGAGGGCTTCTTGAGGGCAGCTTGGGGACGGGCTGGGCGTCTTGGGGGTCCCTGCGAGTTCCCGGGGCCCAATTTCGGCACCAATTTCGGGCCCCGTGACCCTCACATATCGATTTGGTTCGAAAAGTGCCGCAGGAAGACTGGGTTTAGGGCTCTGGTCATGATCTTTCGCGATGTTGTAATTTGTTCGCAACGTCGGATTTCAGGGCAAGACTCCGTGGTACTTTTGGGGGCTCGCCGAGGGCTTCCTGAGGGCAGCTTGGGGACGTGCTGGGCGTCTTGGGGGCGGGGGAGGGCTCCCTGGGGCCCCTGCGAGTTCCCCCTCTCGGGCCTCCCTGGCCCCTCGACGGGCCCTCTTGAGGGCCTCCTTGGCCGTCTTGGGGGGGCCTCCTTGGGGCAGTCTTGGGGCCTTCTTGGGTCATCTCCGAGCCCTCCTGGGGGCCTCTGGGCCGTCTTGGGCCAAATTGGGGGACTTCTCGGGCCGTCTCGAGGTTCAGAACCCCGAGATGGTCGTCATGCGAACGTCAACGCCCGTAGGAAAATGAGCTCGAGCACCCCCGCCCGACCCGGCTCACTGGATGCCAGACTTTATCCGTCGCGATCGGGAGCGACCGATCGGCAATCCCAGTCGGTCGCGACCGATCGCGGCCGATCCCCAAATCGGTCGCGGCTGGTCGCGTCCGATGGGTTGCGGCTGATCGGTTGCGACCGATTTTGAAGCGAATTGGTGGCGACTGATACGGGATTTTGAGGCCAAGTCGGTAGCGATCGATCTCGTCGGTAGCGATCATACAATTTTGCCATCTAACGATCGGGGTCCCTCTCCGCCATGATTTATTCTGGACCCCAGGGAAGGTATTTCGCCTGTCAATGGGGGTCCGATTTTTGGAGGTGAGCAGGTAAGCTAAATTTCCTGGATCTTTTTTTGTTCGGGGCCATGCTTGTCTCAATCAGTCTTTTATCTGTTGCTTCTTCCCACATCCTAAGTGAGGTTCTTGTTTTCTGCACACCTCCGCGCAGGAACCTCCCACCCTCCCACCCTCTCTTCCACCTCATCACCATTACCATCACAATCGTCGTTATCATACTCATCATCATCAGTACCACCATCAT